CAATGTCCCATCCATCTCCAGGATTTGGGAATATTTATCCCATTCCCAATGTCCCATCCATCTCCAGGATTTGGGAATATTTGTAGGAAATGAGGCGCATTCCCACGGAACGGCCTTTTCCACAATTCCCAGTTTCCTCCCTTGTGCCTTCGGCTGGGCACGGACATTCCCAAATCCCAAAATTCCCCAGCTGGAATCCCCTGACACCCACGAATTCCCAGAGGAACAATTCCAGAGGCGCAAGAATTCCCTCCAGGCTCGGGATGAGCCGGGATCCACGGGACGGGGACAATTCCCGGCCCCAATTCCAGAGGGAGGGAAGGGGAATTCCGGGAATTCCTGGAATTCTTTTCTCGCCAGGCGCAGCATTCCCGGTGTCCATGGAAACTCCGCGGCTGGAAAATTCCAGCGGCCGCAACCCGAGCCGGGAGCGGCTCCGCGGGATTTAAAGGGAACGCGCCGAATTCCCGGAGATTTCCCCCATTCCCAAAAATCCGCCGGGACAATTCCAGACGCGGAAGACGAAGGGGAGGATTTCCCGTTTTCCAGGGATTTCCCTGCAGCCAAAGGGATTTGGGACGGATCTTGCCGGATTTGGTAAATTTAATAAACTAAAAGAATAAATACAATTAAAATGAAATAAAATCAATTAAAAGAACTTAAACTATGTTAAGATATATTAAAATAATATTTAATTAATATTTTAAAAAAATAAATACTATTTAAACACTATTTAAATTACATTTAAATAACACTTAAAATATAATAAAAGTAAAACAAAAATTCAAAGTCCAGATAAAAATAAATAAAAGTAAAAATAAGAATTATAGAGAAAGAAAATCAAATCAACAACTACATCAGATTGGAATAAAAATAAAATTTAAAAATTTTAATGAGTAAAAATAAAACAAGAATTAAATTAAAAAAAAATTAAAGACATTTAAAATAAATAATTGAAAATATTAAAAAAGTTGAAGATAAAATACATTAAAACAAAAATAGAGAAGTAAATAAAAATAAGAATAAATAATACATAAAATGAAAACTAATAAATAAAAATTTAAAAATTAAATAAATAAAAATACTATTCGATACATTTGAAACTTTTTTAAAATTATAAATAAAAAATAAAAACAAAGTTTAAGGGAAATTTAAAAAATAGAGGAAAATATTAAAAATTTAATAAATTAAAATAGGGGAAAAAGTATAAAATAAATTCAAAGTAAAATTTAAAAATCAAGGAAAAAAACCTTCATTTTTAACAAATAAAAGAAATAAAAAGAAATAAAATTAAACCAGCAGAAAATGGAGAATAAAACCTCCGGGAATAGAAGGAATGACCTGGAATTCCCATCCCAGAATTCCCGGAGTTGAAATTCCCAGCGCCTGGGATGGATTCCCAGCAAATTCCCTGAACCACATCCCAGATTTCCACAGTGTTTTCCAAGAGGAAAAAATCCGGGAATTCTGCTTCATTATGGATTTGGGAATCGCAGCTTCCCATGGATTGGCCAGGCCCGGCATTCCCATTGATATCCCAGCACCCGGAATGGATTCCCGGGAAATTCCCTGCTCCACATCCGGGGATTTCCATTCCCAAAGTTCTGGGATGGGGCCGGAATTCCCATCCCACAATTCCCATTGATATTCCCAGCACCTGGAATGGATTCCTGGCAAATCCTCTTAACCAAATCCCAAATTTCCACGGAATTTTCCACAAGGAAAGAATTCCATTCCCAAAGCTCTGGGAATGAAATGAAGGATCTGGAATTCCCATTTTGTGGACAGGAATGACCTGGAATTCCCATCCCACAATTCCCATTGATATTCCCAGCACTCCCAATGAATTCCCAGCAAATCCTCTTATCCACATCCCAAATTTCCATGGCGTTTTTCCAAAAGGGAAAATTCCAGAATTTGCTTTGGTGTGGATTTGGGAATTCCGGGTTATTCCCCACAGATTGACCCAGAATTCCCAAAGATCTGCGCTCCAGGATTTCGCCACATTTGATCCCTTTCGCTTCCAGAGGGAATTTTTTTAACCAGACCCAAAAAACCCAAGGAATTCCTCGAGATCTCCCGCGGTTTTATCCCGATTTTTGGGAAAACGGGAAATTTGGGAAATCCGGGAAAATCAAGGAGGAGAGAGCGGGAGAGGAGCAAGGAAAATCTTGGATGCAGGAGCCTCATTCCCAAAAAACCAAAGAATTCCTTAAAATCTTGGAGCCCCAGCCCGGAATTCCAGAGGAATTTTGGGAAGCGGGAATTCCCCGTCGCGCTGCTGCCACCGCGTGGCTCTTCCCTCATCCCGAATTCCCAAGGATTTTCCCCTGGAAAATTCCCCCAAAACCAAAGACTCGGATTGGCTGGAATATTCCCAGTTAATCCGGGATGAAACCTTGGAGCTGCTGGAATGTTCCTTCCCGTGGGAATGCGCTGATCCTGGAATTCTCTCGGATTCCCGGAAAATGTTGGATACTCCTGGATCCCTTTTTGAGCCGCCCGAAATCCCGGGATTCTCCCGGGACAAAATCCCAGGAATTCCCAAATCAGGGAAGGTTTTTGTGGGATTTTGGGGTGGAATTCCCAGAAAAGCTGGAATATCCCTGGAATATCCCTGGAATATCCCTGGAATATCCCTGGAATATCCCTGGAATATTGGGAGCTGTTGCTGCCTGGAGAACGGGATGAGCTTTAAATCCCCAAAAATCAGGAATTCCACTAAATGCAGGTGAAGGAAATCATCCCTGAAATCCCAGAATTCCAACATCGAGCTTGGCTTGAATCCCAGCGGGGTTTGGGAATTTTTTCTTTTTAAGGAAAAAAAAAAAATCAAGAATTTCACTCCCTGAAGCAACAAGATTTGGGAAAACAACAAAAAAAAAATTATTTAAAAAAAATGAGGGAAAAAGACCCAAAAAACTGGAGGGGAGTAACTGGGGAAGGAAAAAACCCGGGGGAAGAAAACTCCTGGAAAAATAACACCGGGAAAAAAAACAAAACAGGGGGAGGGAAAAACTCCTGGGGAAAAAATAAATTAAAAAAATAAAAAATAAAATATAAAAAATAATAATAATAAAAAAAAACACCCCTAAAAAACTAAAAAAAAACCTGGGAAAACAAATGCCAGGAAAGAAAACCTGGGGGAAAAAAACCTGGGGAATAAAATACACCTGGGAATAAAAAAACACCGGGAAGAAAAAAGTGGGAAAAATAAAGTCTAGGGAAAAATAAAAATAAAAACTGGGGAAAAAAACCCGAGAGAAACAAAAAAGGGAGAAAAAAACGGAACGGAAAAAA